CCAAACTATCCAAAGCTTACCCAACCCCCACCCGAGTATTCACTTACCTCCTTTAATTTCCGACTTCTCAAGCCTGCACAGTGATGTCCAATAGACTTGAATGGGATGGACTCACCATACTGGTGGAGCATTGTCTGATTCAAGTCTATGGGACATTACTGTGTGGGTAAGGGCAGCACTGCACCAGGCTTTGCCAGCCGAAATGTTAACACCACAGGAGGCCATTGGAGGAGGTAAGTAAGCACTTGGGGTGGGGTGGGGGGGCAGCCTAGGGCAGTATAGGTTGCTGGAGGCGTTAGATAAAGGTGAACTTGTTCTTTTAAGTCCATACCCTTTACATCAGCAAAGACATTACTGGCAGATACCGAGGTGAAGAGCGCACTCACAGCGTGGAACGAGATCTGAGGAGTTTTACACTAGACAGCACTGAGGAGTAAATGCAGCTTGTTGTGGTCTCCATCATAGTTACATAGTACATGAGGTTGAATAGACTTAAGTCCATCAAGTCCAACCTACTGCGTGTGTGCATTCACGTTTCCCCCTGGATGATTAGAGTGGAGTCTCTTCATGCAACCTCTCCATGCTGCCATTGTACCAGAGTTAGGGGAGTCCGCGTCCTCGCCAGTCCTAACTAGCACCTACTTTGGTTTTGACAATCAGTTTATGGAAGAAGTGAATCCCCTTTAATGCCTTCCTACCCGCAATCTGCAGATTGACATTCACCCAGCATAATACCCTGTAAACAATAATCTGTGTTCTCTACTGGAATTATGAGGCTCCTAATTCTGCGAGCGCACCGTCACTGACATCAATGGTCTCCAACACTCATAGAATCATAACGATCACATGACTTCATTTACAATACAATGGTGCTTGACATAGTAGGGGGGCCCATTGGCAGCAGGCTGATGTGTAGGCCAGGGGTAGCCAAACATCAGCCCTCCATCTGGGGGTAAAACTACAAATGCCTGTGGCTGTCAGAGTCTTGCAAGGCCTCATGGGACTTGTAGTTCCACAACAGCTGAACTATCCTTGCTGCAGACAGACCATACAATATGTTTCCTCTCCACCTAACTATTCACAAATGGCAGCCTACGGCTATGTATTGTGTGAATAACCAAGCGCAGAGGGAGGTGCAGACATGACACCGGCGATGGAGTCTATAAGACCTGCAGTGCTCATGTCTGGAGCAGATAAAGTGAAGCGGGAGCTGTGCTAGGTGCTGGGAAAACTAAGAGAACTCTGTTTGTAGAAATCCTGCAGGAAATAACGGTGCAGCATGAAGGGGTTAAACATGGGACAGCAAAGTCAGACATGTGACCTAAGTGCGCACCTTGTCATGTGGCTGTGCTGGGTGGTCGGCGAGGTGTTCACCCGCTGGATAAAAGTCTTCAGCACGCTGCGGCACTTGTAAAACTGGGCATGGCAGTCCTTGCATACAAACTGCGGCAGCCAGGGGTCCTGGCGCACCGACACCCCGACCAACTGCTGGAAGTCGGAGAAGAAGACCTGATCCATCCGCTTCTGCTTCTCTGAGGTGCAGGCTGTGACCGGAACCTTCCCGAAGGCCTGGCGCAGACTGCGGGAGGAGAACTTGCCATGGCAGAGCCGGCAGTAACCAGTGCCCAATGGCTTACCAATACCTGACAGCAGGAAGGAATGTCACAATGTCAGTATCATCGCTTGTTACACAAGGCACACAGACAACCAATCGTCTCTAAAGTCAACTTTGTATTTTGTTTTGAACAGAGCGGGGGCAGGGTGACAACCCTTTGTTATGCTTTGGATTGCAGTCTGTATCCTGTTAGGGAGATTTCCCTTTATTTCCTGTCCCAGAGACACAACAGGAAGTGAGTAGAAATCTCAGACAACAGGAACAAATGTCCTGACTAGAAGACTTCCCCTCACTTCCTGTCTTCGTGATAACTAACAATCTGCGGTGTAGTATGAGAAGAGGTCACGCAGTAGCTGTGGTGTAGTATAAGAAGAGGTCACGCAGTAGCTGGGGTGTAGTATGAGAAGAGGTCACGCAGTAGCTGTGGGGTAGTATGAGAAGAGGTCACGCAGTAGCTGTGGGGTAGTATGAGAAGAGGTCACGCAGTAGCTGTGGGGTAGTATGAGAAGAGGTCACGCAGTAGCTGTGGGGTAGTATGAGAAGAGGTCACGCAGTAGCTGTGGGGTAGTATGAGAAGAGGTCACGCAGTAGCTGTGGGGTAGTATGAGAAGAGGTCACGCAGTAGCTGTGGGGTAGTATGAGAAGAGGTCACGCAGTAGCTGTGGGGTAGTATGAGAAGAGGTCACGCAGTAGCTGTGGGGTAGTATGAGAAGAGGTCACGCAGTAGCTGTGGGGTAGTATGAGAAGAGGTCACGCAGTAGCTGTGGGGTAGTATGAGAAGAGGTCACGCAGTAGCTGTGGGGTAGTATGAGAAGAGGTCACGCAGTAGCTGTGGGGTAGTATGAGAAGAGGTCACGCAGTAGCTGTGGGGTAGTATGAGAAGAGGTCACGCAGTAGCTGTGGGGTAGTATGAGAAGAGGTCACGCAGTAGCTGTGGGGTAGTATGAGAAGAGGTCACGCAGTAGCTGTGGGGTAGTATGAGAAGAGGTCACGCAGTAGCTGTGGGGTAGTATGAGAAGAGGTCACGCAGTAGCTGTGGGGTAGTATGAGAAGAGGTCACGCAGTAGCTGTGGGGTAGTATGAGAAGAGGTCACGCAGTAGCTGTGGGGTAGTATGAGAAGAGGTCACGCAGTAGCTGTGGGGTAGTATGAGAAGAGGTCACGCAGTAGCTGTGGGGTAGTATGAGAAGAGGTCACGCAGTAGCTGTGGGGTAGTATGAGAAGAGGTCACGCAGTAGCTGTGGGGTAGTATGAGAAGAGGTCACGCAGTAGCTGTGGGGTAGTATGAGAAGAGGTCACGCAGTAGCTGTGGGGTAGTATGAGAAGAGGTCACGCAGTAGCTGTGGGGTAGTATGAGAAGAGGTCACGCAGTAGCTGTGGGGTAGTATGAGAAGAGGTCACGCAGTAGCTGTGGGGTAGTATGAGAAGAGGTCACGCAGTAGCTGTGGGGTAGTATGAGAAGAGGTCACGCAGTAGCTGTGGGGTAGTATGAGAAGAGGTCACGCAGTAGCTGTGGGGTAGTATGAGAAGAGGTCACGCAGTAGCTGTGGGGTAGTATGAGAAGAGGTCACGCAGTAGCTGTGGGGTAGTATGAGAAGAGGTCACGCAGTAGCTGTGGGGTAGTATGAGAAGAGGTCACGCAGTAGCTGTGGGGTAGTATGAGAAGAGGTCACGCAGTAGCTGTGGGGTAGTATGAGAAGAGGTCACGCAGTAGCTGTGGGGTAGTATGAGAAGAGGTCACGCAGTAGCTGTGGGGTAGTATGAGAAGAGGTCACGCAGTAGCTGTGGGGTAGTATGAGAAGAGGTCACGCAGTAGCTGTGGGGTAGTATGAGAAGAGGTCACGCAGTAGCTGTGGGGTAGTATGAGAAGAGGTCACGCAGTAGCTGTGGGGTAGTATGAGAAGAGGTCACGCAGTAGCTGTGGGGTAGTATGAGAAGAGGTCACGCAGTAGCTGTGGGGTAGTATGAGAAGAGGTCACGCAGTAGCTGTGGGGTAGTATGAGAAGAGGTCACGCAGTAGCTGTGGGGTAGTATGAGAAGAGGTCACGCAGTAGCTGTGGGGTAGTATGAGAAGAGGTCACGCAGTAGCTGTGGGGTAGTATGAGAAGAGGTCACGCAGTAGCTGTGGGGTAGTATGAGAAGAGGTCACGCAGTAGCTGTGGGGTAGTATGAGAAGAGGTCACGCAGTAGCTGTGGGGTAGTATGAGAAGAGGTCACGCAGTAGCTGTGGGGTAGTATGAGAAGAGGTCACGCAGTAGCTGTGGGGTAGTATGAGAAGAGGTCACGCAGTAGCTGTGGGGTAGTATGAGAAGAGGTCACGCAGTAGCTGTGGGGTAGTATGAGAAGAGGTCACGCAGTAGCTGTGGGGTAGTATGAGAAGAGGTCACGCAGTAGCTGTGGGGTAGTATGAGAAGAGGTCACGCAGTAGCTGTGGGGTAGTATGAGAAGAGGTCACGCAGTAGCTGTGGGGTAGTATGAGAAGAGGTCACGCAGTAGCTGTGGGGTAGTATGAGAAGAGGTCACGCAGTAGCTGTGGGGTAGTATGAGAAGAGGTCACGCAGTAGCTGTGGGGTAGTATGAGAAGAGGTCACGCAGTAGCTGTGGGGTAGTATGAGAAGAGGTCACGCAGTAGCTGTGGGGTAGTATGAGAAGAGGTCACGCAGTAGCTGTGGGGTAGTATGAGAAGAGGTCACGCAGTAGCTGTGGGGTAGTATGAGAAGAGGTCACGCAGTAGCTGTGGGGTAGTATGAGAAGAGGTCACGCAGTAGCTGTGGGGTAGTATGAGAAGAGGTCACGCAGTAGCTGTGGGGTAGTATGAGAAGAGGTCACGCAGTAGCTGTGGGGTAGTATGAGAAGAGGTCACGCAGTAGCTGTGGGGTAGTATGAGAAGAGGTCACGCAGTAGCTGTGGGGTAGTATGAGAAGAGGTCACGCAGTAGCTGTGGGGTAGTATGAGAAGAGGTCACGCAGTAGCTGTGGGGTAGTATGAGAAGAGGTCACGCGGTAGCTGTGGTGTAGTATAAGAAGAGGTCATGTAGCAGCTGTGGTGTAGTATAAGAAGAGGACATGCAGTAGCTGTGGTTTGACAGAAGTATAGGCTCTGCAGAAGCTGTGGTGTAGTACAAAAGGAGTTGCTGCAGAAGCTGTAGTGTAGTACAACAGGAGTCACTGCAGCAGCTGTGGTGTAGCACAACAAGAGTCGCTGCAGCAGCTGTGGTGTAGTACAAGAGTCGCTGAAGCAGCTGTGGTGTGGTACAACAAGAGTCGCTGCAGCAGCTGTGGTGTGGTACAACAAGAGTCGCTGCAGCAGCTGTGGTGTGGTACAACAAGAGTCGCTGCAGCAGCTGTGGTGTGGTACAACAAGAGTCGCTGCAGCAGCTGTCGTGTGGTACAACAAGAGTCGCTGCAGCAGCTGTGGTGTAGTACAACAAGAGTCACTGTAGCGGACTGCGGATGATGAGAAGTGTGATGGTCGCCTGTCACACCCAGTCAGCCCTCTCCCATACCAAACTCTCACCCGCTCCAGGCTCCTCCACCTCTGGCGGCAGCTTGCCTCCCCCGTCGTCCTCCTTGGCTGCTCCCCGGGAAGCCCTCCGGTGACAGGCCGTACTCCGCCCTCGCCTGTCCCGCTTCATCCCGCGGCTTCACCCCCTAGACGGATCCCCGGAGCCGCCATTCAGCTCGGAGCAGCGAGAGGAGCCGCTGAGCGGCTGGCACAGCGCCATCTAGTGGCCGCTTAGGGGTACTGCACACCTCAGGCTGCTATCACTGTCCAGACACCGACCGACCCTGAGATCTCATCACCCCTCCCCCACAGTGAGGGCCTGAGAGTCTATGTGGGACATAAAGAAATGTGCGATTCGTTCCGTTCCCAATTGACATTAGAACGGATTTTTGGAAATTCGGATGCATTAGAAACTCCAAAATGAAAAAATAAAGAATCCAAATTTTCCGATAACGAAATAAAATTTTTATTTTTTTTCCGAATGTCTTTGTAAATTAACTTTTGGTATTAATCGTTAAAAAAAAAACACACCCAGCATTGAGTCCCCTCCAAATTAATACCAGACCCAGTGGCTTCACAGGGGGGTGCAGCCCGCACCCAGGTGACATAATTGGAGGGGTGACAGTCATTTTGGTGTCACCCCCTCTATAAAAGTCAGGCACTCGGTCATGGATCAGAGCCCGACAGTTTCAGGAGAGAGGAGGGGACCCAGCGGCATACCTCATCCCGCCGGGTGTACGTCCCCACTCTCTGCCAGTGTCCATCATCAAGATGGCCGCCAGCAATAAGCGTCATTGTGCACGTGCGTGGTGATGCCACGCGCATGCACAAAAATGTCATGGCAGGGTGTCACTCGGTCCCCGCTCCAGGGTGACACCCGGCCTCGGTATGCCCCTGACCAGACCCTTTAAGTTGGAATTTTTTGTGGGCCCCAACTGCACGAAAAATGAGTGGGGTCCCCCCAAAATCTCTTACCCGACCCTTGATCCGAGCAGCAGCCTGGTACGGCAGGAAAGGTGGTGGAGCTAGCATGCTTCACCCCCCACCATACCTGGCCACATGCCCTCAACATGGGGAGGGTGCTTTGCCAGGGGGGACCCTCTGGAAAAGCACCTTGTCCCTATGTTGATGAGGACAAGAGCCTCTTCCCCACACAGGGCCGGCCTTAGGCCTTTAGGCGCCCTGTGCGAGAAAGCTTTACAGCGCCCCTCAGTGACCACACCCCTCAGTGGCCACACCCTTTAGTGGCCACACCCCCAGTAACCACACCCATTTATCACCCATATTTTTGATAAAATATAAAAAGACGGGGTCACGTCGGGTAAATAGACACCAAACATGTCAAAAATTGCGCGCACCCGCGAAATCGCAAAAAAATTACCATGCCCAAAATTGACCATAGGTGACGTTTTAAAAGCTTTTACCCCTCATCAGTTTAGTGTTATCAGTGATTGATAGCCCTACAATTATTGCTCTCATTCTGATGTTCGCAGCGATATGTAACATGTGCGGCGTAATGGGCGAAATCGTCGTTTTCACACGTATGCGCACCCGACGCCTGTTTGCTTGCGTGTATGTATGGGGGGACTTTAAAAAAAATGTAATTCTTTTTTTATTTGTAAAATAAAATTTGGGGGGGAAACTTTATTGCTATCACATAGGGTGTTAGAAAACCCCCTTATGTGATAGCAAAATATGTCACAGGTCCTCTTTATGGAAATGGCACCCTTGTTGCCATGGCGCCCTGTGCGGCCGCACTGCTCGCACACCCCTAAGGCCGGCCCTGTCCCCACAGCCCTGGCCCGGTGGTTGTGGGGGTCTGCTGGCAGGGGGGTTTATCTGAATTGGGGTACCCCCTCTCATAAGAAGAGACCCATATGCCCCCCCTCATGAATGAGTAAGGGGTAGAGCTACTATCATTGACAGAGCTGCTTCTGAATGTCAACAAATGGGTGGAACAAGTCCCATGACATCACTAGTTGCTCCGCCCCTTTGTTGACATTCGGGTCAGAGCTGTCATTTTGCGGCGGTGTTCATCGGGGCTGGCGGGCATCGGGTATTTTTTTTTTTAGTGAGTCGTCAGCCGTCATCCATCGTGATTGACGTGGATCTACATCGTTGGTCGACGTAATTAATCTTTGGATTACATCGATGGACGCTTTTTTTTTTAAGCCCTTCCTGACTGGAGACGTACACTGTACATTAGCAGCTAATTCAGGGCTCTGAAATGAATCAGCTGTTACCGTTCATTAATGGATGCTTCAGTCTTATGGCATCCATTAATAAAAGAATTCAACTTTTGTAAAAGCTTCTTTCTTTCATTAATGAAAGAATAAAGGTGCCCATACACCTATCGATTACCAAAAATCACAAAACATGAACACTGCATGTGCGCAAACAAAGAAATTTGTTTGCGCAAATTCACAAACATTTTACGTAATTCAGCGAGTTAGTATTACTAATGAACGGTTATCGAAACAACATTAGTCTGTGCATGATGGGATATTTGAGCTACAATCGAACGAGGGTTCTTGGCAGCAATGGAAACTCCCGAATGAAAATCTATAAGTGTATGGGCAGGTTTAGCCCTCATTCACACGAGCTGATAGCATCCAGTATTTGTAACAGCCTAAGTGTAATCACACGCAGCACCTGTCCTTCACGGGAGCGGCCCGATACGGTCGTGCACGCAGCACGGATCTGTACGGGCCGGCCGTTTCTCTTGTGAATGAGGGCTTAGGCTGTTACAAATACTGGATGCTATCAGCTATCTGATATTTGACAGCTGAAATAGCAGAATGGTGTGCACACCGCTCCATTTCAGTTTTGGCAGCTCTGTAGAGATCGGGACTGTTTTGTGCTGTTTTGTTACATTCTTCAGCACAGAAATATGTAACAATATATTTCTTTGCTGAAACATTGTATCAGACTTCTGATCGTCTGGGAACGATCAGAAGCTTTTAGGGCTTGTTCACACCGAAAGCGTGTGCGTTCCAGATCGGTAGCTGCTGGAACGCACTGCGATCGCTAAGAAACTTTCTCCCGCGTTCTGGGGCGGGAGGGGGCGTGGCGGTGCATTGCATTCAATGGCACCGCTTCCACGCCCCCCCCAAAACGCAAAAAATAGGGCAAGCAGCTACCGCTCTGGAACGCACACGCTTTCGGTGTGAACAAGGCCTTAGGGCTTGTTCACACCAAATGCAAACCAGATCTGCATTAGTTTCTGCACACTCAGTGTGTTATACTGCGTTTTTTGCAGCGTTTTTGACACCGCCATGTGTGAATAGAGCTTTAGGGCTGGTGCACACCTGGGTAATTTCTGCGCAAAACACAGATTTGCATTGAAGTCAATGGAGGCTGTTTACACCTTTGTGTTGCGTTGCGTCACGTGGGCGAAATCGCCTGTCGCACAAAAAGGTGCAGGAGCTATTTTTGGGCAGTTGTCGTCCATAGACATTAAAAATCGCATGGTTTTCAAAGCAAAAAAAGCACAAAAAACAGCTCAGCAATTCAATTTCCTAGGTGTGAACCTGGCCTTGAGTGAGATCTGAGCCTGACATGCTGTCAGGATCAGTCACTGAGGATGGCCATACATCATTGGTGCCATGAACCCTCGTTCGCTTCTAGCTCAATTAGCACATCCATCACAAACAAATGTCGATTCTGATAATCGTACGTTAGCAATACTACTGATACACTGATCAATTTTTTTTGTTTCAACCCGCGGTATGAACAAAAAAAATAGACTTGATTCTTCCATCAACACTAACAGCGTGTCGATCGAGGAATCCGCTGTTTACAATGTATTCTGACAGGTGCCGCCGACCGCCATCAGAATACCAGATCAGAGTGGGAAGCTTATTGGCTGCCGGCTCTGATCGATCGAAGATTTTCTGACCGGCTCCTACAATCAGCTGATCGAGGGATGCCGATCAAAAGGGTGCCGACAGCGGCACATACTATGTGAATTTCCTCAGAAAGTCGAACAGTGTATGGGCACCTTAACACAGAATTTTGTCGATTGACAGAACGGATTTTCGCTTGCAGAGTTCTTGCTGAAATGTTTTCGTACAAATAAGCCACTAATCCATCAATTTTCGTTTGATTTCGAAAAAACTTTTCCAGTCTCACTCTTCGAGAAAATTTGAGCGGGAGAACAGTAAAAATAAAATCATTGGTGTTCCATCAACCGATTTTTATTTGAAGGACCATTTGTGGAAGATTTTCTAACAAAAATTGAAGAGTGGATGGGCACCTTAAAGGAGAACTATGGGGTTAGGGCTTTTCCCCATAGTTCTCCTAAGGGTAACGGGAGGACACAAACTAGCGTGACCCTAAGCTCAGTATACCGCGAGCTGTAGCTCGCGGTATACTGAGACGCCGCAGCTAAAACGGATCCCGACAATTATGTCTTGATCCGCCCAGCTGCGTGAGTGACAGCTGGCTCTGCCTATCTAGAGGCAGAGCCAGCTGTACCCGCCCCCTCCCCGTCCATTCCGCCAGTCAGCGCTGGAGGATCGGGGAGGGGGGGATCCAGCCCCTCCCCTGTCACGGCTCTCTGCAGTGACAGGATCGAGAAGTGAGCGAGAGCCGGTATGTGTTCGCTCACTTCCCGATCTACTGAGCCGACCTGGGACAGTTTCATTGTCACAGGTCGGCTAGAACTATGAGGTGAGTGAAAATCACTCGCCTCAATAAAAATTATGTATTTTTATACTATAATGATTATAAAAAATGAACCCCTTACAATGAAAATCTGCAGCTTTGCTGCAGATTTGTTTTTCACCCTAAGGGTTTTTTTTTTAACCCTCTCATGACGGTGTTGTTCAAAGTTTGTCGTCTTTTCCAAGTGTGGCAGTTAGTGACAATGACAGTGGCATTGTAGGCCACCTAACCTGGTGACCACTATTAATTTTTAGAGAAAAATAAAATGTTGGCGTTTTAGGCTGAAAAGTACAGAAACATTTCTAAAATCCTAGGGATGTGAAGTGTTTCCAAAATAAAGGACAAATACATGAATTTATTTGAATGCATTTTTTTTTTTTTTTTTAGCTGTGCTATTGTTCTAAAAAAATAATAATAATCAAAACTGGGTACAAAGTGTTTCTTTATGTTTTTTTCCTTTTTTTTTAAATAGGTTATTCATACTAAGTGAGGCATTAGGTATACATATATGTGATATAAATATACAGCCCGATCTGTCCTATGAAAAACAATATGTAATATGTGTGGGTGCACTTTGTAACAAAGTATATTACTGACGTGGAAGAATCACACAGCAAAAATGTAATAAGTGCGTCAGTCATTAACGAACAGAAACTGAAAAAAAGCTTAGTCATGAAGGCAGGGGCATAACTAGAAATCACAGGGTCTCATAAAACTGCCCCCCACCAAACAAAAACAACCTACCTCCAGAATATGTTCCCATGCCTGCACCATCTCTGTCTCCTTCTCTTCAGCTCTGCCCCTATTGGCTCTGATGTCAGAGCTGAAGAAGCGATCACTCCACCACTCACTATTGCAGAGTCCACCATAGACCCTACATAGCCCAATAGAGACTCTGCAGAATCCACCATAGACCCCGCAGAGCCCACCTGAGACCCAGCACAGCCCACCAGAGACCCCGTACAGCCCACCTGAGACCCAGCACATACCAGAGACCCTGCAGAGCCCATCTGTAACCCCACGTAGCCCATCTGAGAGTGACTCTACAGAGCCTACCTGAGACCCTGCAGAGACCACCATTGACCCCGCCGAGCCCAACTGACAACACCTTACAGAGCCCACCTGAGACCCTGCCGTGCCCACCATAGACCCCACACAACCCACCATAGACCCTGCACAGCCTACCAGAGCTCACCTGAAACCTCACACAGCCCACCTGAGGATGACCCTGCAGAGCCAACCATAGACCCCACATAGCCCACCTGAGACCCTGCACAGCCCACAATAGACCCCACAGAGCCCACCTGAGAACCCACACATACCAGAGACCCTGCACAGCCCACTGGTGACCCCACACAGCCCACCTGAGAGTGACCCTGTAGAGCCCACCAGAGACCCTGCAGAGCTCACCTGAAACCTCACACAGCCTACCCGAGGGTGACCCTGCAGAGCCAACCATAGACCCCACAGAGCCCACCTGAGACCCTGCACATCCCGCAATAGACCCCCACAGAGCCCACCTGAAAACCCGCACATATCAGAGACCCTGCACAGCCCACTTGAGACACCACACAGCCCACATGAGAGTAACCCTGCAGAGCCCACCCTAGACCCTGCATAACCTACCTGAGCCCCTGCATATACCAGGGACCCCGCACAGCCCATCAGAGAGAGACCCTGAAGAGCCCACCTGAGACCCGCATAGCCCACCTGAGACCCTTCAGAGCCCACTTGAGACCCCACACATACCAGAGACCCTGCGTAGCCCATATGAGACCCCCCAACAGCCCACCTGAGAGTGGCCCTGCAGAGCCCAACATAGATTCTGCACAGCCTACCTGATACTCTTTATGGTGGGCTCTGCAGGGTCTCAGGTGGGCTGGTTGTGGGTCTCTTTTCCTGCACACTGCACTCCTCTTAGCTGTCAGCCCCGAGCCGCCCATCAGCTGGGTCCCGGCCTTCTCCACCTCTGCTGCCAGACCCGCACTGCTGAGCCCCAGGCCTCCTGACTGGGCCTCACTCTGCCCCGGTAGCTACACCACTGCACATATACATATCCATACAATACATATCACATATACATATCCATACAATACATATCACATATACATACAATACATATCACATATACATACAATACATACACTGTACATACAATACATATCCATACAATAAATATCACATATACATAAAATGCATATCACATATACATACAAAACATATCACATATACTTTCCAGAGTGCTAACTGGGGTAGCAGATCTACTCATTAGCACCTGAGCAATCTCAGTGTGGGGAGAAGCAGCCCCATCTGCACCCTTCATCCTTTTGGAGTCTCAAGCTGGATTCAGTTAGGTGCTGAATTGGGCAAAAATCAAGTTGTGGGGGGCACTGCTGGCAACAACCAATTTGTCAATTGATTTCTGTCGAAGGAACCGGATGGAAAATTGTTGGCTGAACACTGACTGAAGCCAATCAGTAGCAGTCACTGCCCTTTTATTCTGACAGTTGTGGGCCCCAGCTGTCAGGATACATTAGCCATCTGGGGAGATTCCTCCATCCAGGCTAAACTAAAGAAATCTATGCGTGTATGGCCAGCTTTATAACATATATCAGCAAAGATACAGCTCTCACTGCAGGGGATAACTGTAATTTGATTTCCAGCTATGTGTACACATCTAAGAAAAGCAATTGTCCAATCAGAGAACTGTGCCACATTTGGGGGTAATCCATACTCAAACGGTGTATAATTTTTTTCCCATATTGCGTTTTTTATGCAATGTTACATAACCAGAGACAAAGTGTAGGTGAGTTTTATTATTATTAAATGACCTGCTATATGCGCATCTTATACCCATTACACACGCCCTGTCATGTTGTCCTCCGACCACTAGGTGGCACAGCGCACAACTCTCTCTCCTGGTTCTGGATTCTCCCTGGACCAATCAGAAAACGTCTCGGAGGTGTGTACGCGAAATTTACTTTCCGAGTGGGAAGCAGAGCACTGTCGCTCGGGTTCCGGAAGCTGGGTGGTTCTGTGTGTTTATTATTGGCCGACAGCCGTCTGCAGTCATGGCCTCCCTGGTTGGGGACGGGGCTCTGAAGCCGCTGCAGAGAGCTATGAAACTGGCAAACAGAGCCATCCAGCTGGACACCAGGAACCTGCACCGGGTGAGGGGGGCGGGTGTCTCCTGCTGCCATTTTGTCTTCAACATCCACCTGCTGTTTATTTTATGTTTATGATTCATTAACATGTGTTTGTATTTATAATCATTTTCACTGCTGTGGGGACTGTACACGGTGACCCAGACCTCTCCCTGAGTTCAACGAGAACCTGTCACTTTGCTCTTTAACCGCTTGAAGACCAGGTGTTTAGACCCCCTTCCTGGCCAGGCCATTTTTCAGTGTTCAGCGCTGCAGTCCTTTGACATTTATTCCGTCATGCAACGCTGTACTGAAATTAATTTTATACCATTTTTTGGGAGACAGAGCTTTCTTATGGTGGTATTTAATCACCACTGGGGGTTTTATTTTTTACTATATTTTGTTTACATTATGTTATAAAACAACTAATATTACCCACTTTTTTGGTAAAATATAAAAGACGGGGTCACATCGGGTAAATAGACACCAAACATGTCAAGCTTAAAAATTGCGCGCACTTGCGAAATCGCAGAAAACTACCATACCCAAAATTGGCCATAGGCGACGCTTTAAAAGCTTTTACGGCTCATCAGTTTAGTGATTGATGGCCCTAACTATTGCTCTCATTCCGACGTTCGTGGCGATATGTAACATGTGCGGCGTAATGGGCGCAATCGTCGTTTTCGCAGGTACGCGCACCTGATGCATGTTTACATGTGTGTATGAAGGGGTGGGGACTTTTAAAAAAAAATATTTTTTATGTGTAACTTTTTTTCCTTTTTTTTTTTTTCACTTAGCAATAAAGTTATCACAGAGGGGGCTGAGAAACCCCTCCTATGTGATAGCATAGTAGTGATGTAATATACATCAGTTCCGCATTCTGACAGCGGAGAGGGGACCGGAGGGAGATCGTGAACCGACCTCCTTCTGATCCCCTGTGACAGAGGCAGTATGCTGGTCCCTGGCTCACAACGGAGCCCGGGACCAGCTTGACAGCGGGAGGGACGCATGTCACGTGACCTCATACAAGCGATCCGCCGGCTTAGCGGATCGCTTGTATATTAACGGGCATGGCTGCCTGTTTTCAGATAGCGGGCATTTCCTGCTCGTGAGCGCCGCGCCCGAGTGGGCAGATGTAACAGGACGTGTTTACACGCCCAGTTACATCCAAGAAGCTCCCGGCCGGCTGTGTATACACAACGGCTGGCCGGGAGGTAGTTAAGGACAGTCTCTTAACCCAAGTCAAAAACAAAAATCACTGCGCTAGAAGTAGTGTTGAACCAGCTGCAACAATGGAAGGTGTTGCACCCGTGTATATTTACTCTCTTAACCCCCCACCCCCTGTTCAGAGCTTTGGTTCTAATCCCTGTGTAATTTACTTTACCCTCCCCCACGTGACAGAGTTCAGATCTGGTAATTGGCTGCTGAGACCTCATAAAGTCACATGCTCCTCCATACCAGGAAGTACCAGATACTTTTGAGGGCACTGACAGGTGAATAGAGAGACCAGAGGAAAGTGAAGACAGTATCCGTAGGTGGCTGACCCATCCAGGGAACCTGTTACTTTGATCCCCCCGCTTGACTGGGGAGCCTCAGTCAAGATCTTGATGAGGCTTATTGTGAACTCCTCATTGAGTACCAATGGTCAGAAGGTTGGGTGACCCTTCTCTAATATATATAGTCACCTTAAACTACATATATTAGACAAGCAAATACTGTCTAAATTAGGGTTGCACAGATACCAAGTACAGTACTCGGTACAAGTACATGTACCGATACTTTTGAGCTCCAAGACTACACTAGAGAAAAATTCAAAAATTAGGAGGCAGCTGTCATTTGTAAGGAGTACACGGAGCTCCTGGGATTTGTACATCTCTGTTTTAATGTACGATTTTGTTTTTATAAATATAAATAAAGGGATGCACAGATACCAGTTTTGCGAGTACTGGTACTTGCCCAGTACTTACGAGTACTGATACATTTTTGTTTATTGTCATGTGACAGGTTTTCTAAAACAATACAGACTAATGATTTCAGGACAGTGGTGGAGTGCCAGAGCCAGGTCCCAGCTGCAACCCTGATAGTTCTCATGAAAATGCCAAGTATCTGCACTGGTACTCGAAAAGTATCTGTGCATCCCTAGTCTATATACAAGAGCCATGTGTGTTTCTCTTTGACTCTTGGTGAGCTTTGTGTATTTCTTCCAGATCTGTGTGAAACGTGGAGCTTCCTGTAATAAAGTCTGCTCACTGCTGCTTTCTCTCCTTGTGAAGGGTGACTGGTCTTGTCTCCGCCCCCTCCTGAAATTTCTGTTGTGGATGGGGCCTGCTGTGTCCCTCCGACAGCTCTACTCTCTCTACAGGCTGTGTACAGCCCAGTGAGGATGTCCCTGCTATGTTTGTATGTATGGTCACATGTATAGCTATCCACTGCTGTGAAAATGAGGAAGTCTGGGCTCATGACCTCCATTAACCTCACCCTCAGTGCTCCTCATACTGTGTGGGAACAAGCCTATGACACCTTGCACTTACAGTATGTCCTCAGCCTTCTGGGTTCATTGATGCGGGGTGTCATTCAGGACATTTTTGTGTTGACAGGTAAGTATTGCAGCCTGAGCTGCCTTTTTCCCCCTCACAGGTTGGGGGACATTTCAAAGAGTGGGGCTTTCAGCCCTCTGATGAACAATATAGATGAGAAAGTTGATATCTGAAGTAGCCAAACTGGTTTTACTGCTTCTAACTACTTGCTGATACGGGTGTACAGGATGCCACAAGGACAGAGTCAGAGCAATCAACTGTAACCCCAAAAATTATGTGGGGAATGGGGAACTTTGTCTTTTTTTAAGGGAAAAAAAAGCTGAACTGCTTTTCAGTCTTGCACAGTTGTACCGGCTCCTCTCCTGGACTGAAATTGCTTCATCTGATAACACTGCACACTGTGAGCTTCTCACCATCTGCATTAGAAGCTGCTGCAAGTCAGATAGAGTCCATCTCATTTCCTGGCTAAAGGACGTGTGGCAATATCTAGCGCTTTCCTTCCCAGCCTTATTGTCCCTGACCCACCCCATTTACTCATTGGATTTCAGCTCTTTAAACTATGGAGGCTCAGCATCAAATGTGGGTGTTACCTTGGGCAGTCTAGCCAAGAACACACACTACGGAAAATTGTATACTTACCTATCGGTAATTTTCCTTTCCTGACGCCAATACATGGCAGCATACAGGACCCTACCATGGCTTTCGCATTGAGTACTTGTTACGCGAATGGTGGCCTTGGGAGGCGGGCTTTGATTGGGCTGGGGGCGGAGCCATACCCATTGTATGCTGCCATAGATTAGCGTCAGGAAACAGTCTCTCTCTCTCCCTCCCTCATGGCACTCCAATCGAGAGAAATCGTATACATAGATGACCTACTGTCTTAACTATGATACACCATCCCCTCAAAAGACATACAATACACCAAGAGAATTCGGGCTTTCAAGGTGTGCGCATAGAAGTCATATACTTGCATAAAATCAATACATTTATTGATCACATTGTTAAAAATGACCTAAGATTTAAGAATTCACAAAACAATAGGGTTAAAAAAATGTATTTCTTAATAAAAACAACAAATACAAAACGCCAGATAGGAGGCATCACTCCAGAGAAATCCCAGCTTTCACTTCTATGAGTGTCAGTCTCCTGTGTCCCTGCAGTGCTCAGTAGTTCCTCCTCCTAACCTCCATGTGGCAGACATTGGGGTCCCCAGGAGACACCACTGAGTACTGTAGAGCAACCAGTAGAACAACATCCAGAAGTAGTAGTAAAGTTATTCAAAACCAGTGGCTGCCGGCCGCCGTCTAGTTGATAGACCAAAAAGAAGCAAATAACAGAAGTTAATTGTTACACTTTAAAGCTGAAGTTAAATCTGCTTATATTTTGCCTTCCCTGTTGTCCTTTTTGTTGTTGTTAAGAAACAACCTTTATGTTTTTATAAAGTACCTTTTTATTAGATTAAATTATGTCATCGGTATCTCTGTCCTTCTCTATGCAATGTGGGCAGGTCATGGCTGGTGCTGTACATAGCTTTCTGAAAACATCACAGCACCCTTCCTCAGTACTCCTCTCAACAGTCCTCTGTCCTGATGCAAGTAGTGGGCTGGCTCTTGGGAGGAGTTATGCAAATGTCAAAATGCCTTGATGGATGGGTGTCAGTTTGGAGGAGTGGGAGTACCTAGGCAGACTGTATTTGCATGCAGTCCACCCACATGTGATGCTAAGCCTCCTCGATGGAAATCCAATAGGTAAAAGGGGTGGGCCGGGGACAGACAGGTTGGAGCGGAAAGTGTTAGATGATGCTGGACATCCTCCTGCCAGGAAATGAGGTATGCTGCATCTAACTTCCTGCAGCTTGTAATGCACATTGTGAGAAGCTCGCAGTGTGCAGTGATATCAGAAGAAGCTATTCCAGGAGCCGCTACAACTGTGCAAGACTGAAGGGAAGGCCGGAGGTCAGCTGTATGTACTGTACTGTACTGTACTCTGCAATAATAACTCAGAAGAGGCATTCACCAGAAATATGATCTCCTTTCCCTTGAAGGTAAAATGTGACCTGTATATAGTATAACAATAGGATTGTCCATTCCCAGAATGATTTGACCTTCTTCACACAGGAGGCCTACGTGGAGTACTTGAAGAGCGTCAGTTTCATATCCCAGTTCTTGGCTGATGAGGCTGAGCAGAAAGGTAACTGTTTTGTGGGATTTCTATCCTTTGTACACATTGTAAGGCCATTTTAGGGATCGAATGCCCCCGTGGTTCCCTCACCTAGAAGAATTTGCAAATTGCAGAAAATAAAAAATCTGCACAAGTTGCTCAAAAGGCAACATTGTCATGTGAATAATAGTCTCCTTACATGTGGCTTTTCGGGGCCCCACAAAAAGAACACGTCTTCCATGAAAGTACATGTATAGTCAACATTTTTAGTAAGTATAGAGTTAAGCTGGCCACATGCGGTTAGATTTCTCTCGTTCAGCCCAGCTATTGACTGAAGAGTATGGATGGGGGAATCTGTCCTGCTTGCTATCGTATTCTGACATCCAGTGCCCGCAGCTGATTGGATGCAGTCATTGTTTGGCCTGTTTTCTGCCCAGCTGCTTTGATCCTCTGACTGAAGTGTGATGACCTGGGTGTGTGGCCGGCTTAAAAGATATCCAAAGGCCCAGCATAGTCTATCCTGTTATAACATCAGCATTGTAATAGGAATACATTAGTGATGCACCAATACCGTTTATTTGGCATCGAGTACCGATATGTTTTCTGGTACTCACCGACACCGGAAGTCCCATTAAGGAAGCCGGGTGGCGTGTAATGACTCTCAGGCTAGGTAACCGATTAACCGGGAAGCCGTCTGCATGCTCCCTCATCACCAGGTAATGCCACCTGGCTTCCTGATTGGCCAGCTTCCCGACCAATCACGAAGCTGCGTGGCAAGTCATTACACATCCCATGGCTTCCTAATTTGGCTGGGAAGCCAGCTCCATGCTCCTTGGTGACAAAGGAGCATGGAGCGGCTTCCCGGCCAATCAGGAATCTGGGCAGCGTGTATTGACTCGCCGCTCGGCTTCCTGATACCGGAATGACTAGTATTGGTATCGGTGGATCCCTAGAATACATACTAGAGTTGTTTTTGATAATGCAGTCAAAGCTTACTTTAAAAAAATCCCTATTATGTAGTGAGTGCTGCCTTCCATCTCCAATCACTATCAACAACTTGGATTCCCAGTGTGCTTTGCGTCTCTTTCCCTGCTGCTTGATGTGATGCAATCTCGATCTCTCAAGACTACTTATCCCATCAAGCATTGCTTCCAGTAAGCAATGATAATGTTACATTGTTCAGACATTCAGTTTTAGTTCAGTGGTAAGGAAGTGCATATTCACAGGGCTGAGTGATATTGTGTCACTGCATGGAGGAAGTACATCCTATGGGCATCTTCAATAAGTAAGTTTACAAACTTCTAGATGGATCTGGTTATTAGGAGTGGGATAGAAGTTATAGAAATTCAATACAGAAATACAGATTTAGTTTTTGACCATAGACACTCTTCAAGGAAGGGGTAAAACCCGTCAATTTATGTATTGCTGCCTCTCTCCTGCTGGAGATATTTCCATGCACTTCCTCTCTCCAAAGTGAGGGAAATCCCCTTAGACATTTGTCACAGGAGCAGGTGTCCCCATTGGAAGATTCCTCCTTATTACTGTTCTGGTGACAAGTATAAAATGTTTGATTTCCCATCACTTTCTATCTTGTTTACTGTGCATACTAAGACAAATAGAGGGGGTGAATCTTCCCGTCAGGGGGACACCATGAAAAAAATATAACTTGACAGAGGCTCTACCCCTTGGCCACTCTATCCTACACTATATTGACGGTGTAATGTGGCACAGTGTTTACTTCGGGTTTGCCATGATGGTCATAAGGGGTCCAGATAGGCTTGTTACTTAGAATTGGCATCATTATTAAATCCTTTAGCAATAATTACCTTATAATTATTATATATTTTTGCAAGCCCTATGCACTGATATTTAGAATGCAATAGGATTCATTGCAATCGTAATGCAAGTCTACACGTGATTGGTCAGTCTAAGAATATTTGCTAAGAGTCCTATTATCATTTAATACCTTTCTTTGTTTTTTTTGGGCTTGGCAGTGAATGACTCTTTGAACCCTGAGTCACAGAAGATGCTGAAACTGGCTGGGCAATGTCTGGAGAGAGCGAGGACCACGGCGGATAAACTAGGTGAGTCAACTTCTGTGGAAGGGATGATTGCAAAAAAAAATTAAGCGTATATATAGCATAAACTTCTTTTTTTTTGGATGCTGTAGGGAAAAACCCAACTCCAGGCACAAGAACTTTACCAGATTTTGAGCAGTAAACATGGCTGAGCTTTAGCTGTAACTCCATTAGTGCAATATGTCTTGGACGGTTTTCATTCATCCAGGTCATGGTACATCTGTAAAAAATAAGTCACGGCAACTGGACTTGCTGTATTTTAATTCAAGACGTTTCACTGGGCATCCGACCAGCTTTCTCAATTCAGAATGACTTGTACAAAAATTTTTGTACAAGTTATTCTGAATTGAGAAAGCTGGTTGGATGTCCATTGAAACGTCTTCAAGAAAAATACAGCAAGTCCAGTTGCCGTGACTTATTTTTTCCATCAGTGCAGGATTTCTTCTTCATGTTATAACTAGTTTTGTATACATGTGAGGATTAGCATAGCTCCTGCTTGACTTCCTGGCTGCTACAGATGAAGGCACTGCAGGTCTCGTAGACCCCAGTGCTGTGGCCATGTCTCTGCCTTCCTCTCCTCCTGACCAATCACAGAATGCAGCCTGAGGCAATGTGCTTTGTGAATAGCCAGAGGAGACGGGGGCAGAGACATGACCACAGTGCTGAGGTCTATGACCTGCATTGCTTCCATCCGTAGCGGCCTGTAAGTACAGAGGGGGCTGTACTAATCAGACGTGGTATCAAAGTACGTTTAACGAGAGCCTGTATGAATGGAGGTTTGTAGCTGAGGTTAAGACAAATTTACTACTCTAGACCTGATAAGGTTATCGTGCCTGGAGTCATGGTTTAAACCCTTATCAGGTTTTGTTTTGTTTTTTGCTACATGTTCACCATTAAAGATGCAGCAGGAAGAAAGAAGATATCTCCCAAAATGAGTCCTTGGAACATGTGCCCCATTGCACGATTTCCCCTCACCTCTTGTTCTGGTGACAGCTGTAAAATTCTGGATTTTACATAACCTTTCTTGGTGACAATGGTCATCAGTAGGGGGGCAAATCAACCTAGCATGGACACAATCAGCAATAAAAATGTGACAGGAGATCTAACCCTCCCCTACCTTTTATAAGAAAAAAAAAGTTTGCAGTTGTTAACAGTCTGAAAAGGATATAATACAAGTTGTGGGGTGGCATGTCTATTACCAAACCAGGGCTTTGATTGCTTTGATTGCTGCTTGTAGTCCCATAAGCGATATTTCCCTTCAGTTATCCTGATGATGTTGTTAAAGGGACAGGGAGTAAGGCATAGTCTCTCTAACAAGGCACTATAATAAGGAAAACACCTTTCACTTTTTTTTTTATAATGGGTTTCGAGGGAGGGGAGCTGGAGCCTCTATCAGCAGTTTATTGTTCTCTGTGTCCTTATGGACAGATAAGGTTTATCTGTGTAGCTCCACAGCAGACAGTAAGTTGCTTTCACTGTAATATGGTTAAATTAAAGAATGGAACCTAAAAAGATTAAAGATAAACTCCATCTTGGGGGATAAAATAAAGCATTTATCCCTCCCCCTGGTCTCTGGCAAGCTATTGTTTTTTTTGCCTTTTGGCAGCACCAGACATCTGATTACAATGCAGACGTGATGTTTTTGAAGGTGAGCGTCTACAGATGACTAATCGCCTTCATTGAAATGGGCACATCGGAAGATCATGGGACTGCATAAACAAACCCATTTAAGAGCGTGTCAGGGATTAATGCTACTGTTTGTTTTTTTCCTGGACGGAATTCAATATTAATTCCTGTAAAGAGGTAAATTATGAGACAGTTTTTGTAAATGGAGCCCTTTTTGATTGTGTATTGTGTTCCTTGCTGATGTAGACATGATGACACTGAAGAATCGTATCTCGGAGGTCCCTGATCCTCCAGCTACTACTGACGTTTCCAGCAATGTTTCTACTACTGCCACAACTACCTCCGCACCCTCCCGTGCTTCCTTTGGTCATTCCTGGGGTCATCGTAGGTCTTGCTCTGATGAGTTCCAGAAAAACGCTGGCTTTCCCTCCCCAGAGGTTTTTCAGATGCTCAGAGCGGCCGAGGCTCAGAGCTGTAAAAAGTAAGATCTCATGACTTAAAGCAGTCTTGTAAGAAGTCTATAATGACCAGCTCATTGGTGAACGGTATGTCCTATATCCTCAGGGAGCTGACACCACTGCAAGAGGCCTCCATACAGAACCAGAAGCTCAGAGCCGCATACGAAGTTCGTCTCTCCAGATTGGACCCAAGGCAGGCCGCACAGAAAACCTCCCTGGTTAGTGGTTGAATATTACCAGGTCTGGTTCCATGAAACAGCTGGAATTACACTGTCATGGTGACTAGGGGTTGTTTTATTCAGTCACTTGCATAGTATAAAAAAAAAATATCAGATAAAAAGAAGAGGATAACGCAGGTTTTAAACCAAACTTCTGCTCTTTTTTTTGTTTTTTAAAGTTACACGTCAGCAACTATAATGAATCTCTGATTTGTATTTTTTTTTAAAGCTGATCTCCATGGAACTGTAAAAACTACCTGTGCAGTGGGGTTCTCCCCACACTGCAGAAATGTATTGCTTGTGTTTGCCTGGGGTACCAGGAAAAAGGAATTTGTACCCTATCCCTCCTTCCCTCAGGCTCCTCCTTCCATTTGAACGGTCCCTCAAAGCCTCTTCTCTTTGCCGCAACGGCTAGCACAGCTGTGATGCCATCACGTACAATGCAGGACCCAAAGTCCTCCATTGTAAGTGAGAACATTGAGCACCCACCCACAGCCAGGAGCATTGGCGAGAGGAGAAGAGCACAGACTGCTGGCGTTGCGAGGCCTAAGGCAATTAAAAGTTATTTTTCCAGGTACCCTAGACAAAATAAAACCCCCAGCATTCAACCCTTGCAGATTGGGGATGACACCAGGGCCAGATTTCCCACAAGGCCAACCAAGGCCCGGCCTTGGGGCAGCAGGGAGTAGAGGGGCAGCAGGGGTGTGGAATTTCTATCTCCTGATGCTCGGGACATGCAGTTCCGGGCGCGGGTGGGTAGTTGTTTTCTACATTTAGCCCGGAATGGGCAAGCAGAGCTAAATGTACAGCGGGGAAGCCGCCACTTGTTTTGGACAAGTGATCCTGGCGATGTTGCTTAGATCACTTGTATGCAGCCTGCAGGTCTGCCATTCTCCATGATGTGACAGGAGATCTAACCCTCCCCTACCTTTTATAAGAAAAAAAAAGTTTGCAGTTGTTAACAGTCTGAAAAGGATATAATACAAGTTGTGGGGTGGCATGTCTATTACCAAACCAGGGCTTTGATTGCTTTGATTGCTGCTTGTAGTCCCATAAGCGATATTTCCCTTCAGTTATCCTGATGATGTTGTTAAAGGGACAGGGAGTAAGGCATAGTCTCTCTAACAAGGCACTATAATAAGGAAAACACCTTTCACTTTTTTTTTTATAATGGGTTTCGAGGGAGGGGAGCTGGAGCCTCTATCAGCAGTTTATTGTTCTCTGTGTCCTTATGGACAGATAAGGTTTATCTGTGTAGCTCCACAGCAGACAGTAAGTTGCTTTCACTGTAATATGGTTAAATTAAAGAATGGAACCTAAAAAGATTAAAGATAAACTCCATCTTGGGGGATAAAATAAAGCATTTATCCCTCCCCCTGGTCTCTGGCAAGCTATTGTTTTTTTTGCCTTTTGGCAGCACCAGACATCTGATTACAATGCAGACGTGATGTTTTTGAAGGTGAGCGTCTACAGATGACTAATCGCCTTCATTGAAATGGGCACATCGGAAGATCATGGGACTGCATAAACAAACCCATTTAAGAGCGTGTCAGGGATTAATGCTACTGTTTGTTTTTTTCCTGGACGGAATTCAATATTAATTCCTGTAAAGAGGTAAATTATGAGACAGTTTTTGTAAATGGAGCCCTTTTTGATTGTGTATTGTGTTCCTTGCTGATGTAGACATGATGACACTGAAGAATCGTATCTCGGAGGTCCCTGATCCTCCAGCTACTACTGACGTTTCCAGCAATGTTTCTACTACTGCCACAACTACCTCCGCACCCTCCCGTGCTTCCTTTGGTCATTCCTGGGGTCATCGTAGGTCTTGCTCTGATGAGTTCCAGAAAAACGCTGGCTTTCCCTCCCCAGAGGTTTTTCAGATGCTCAGAGCGGCCGAGGCTCAGAGCTGTAAAAAGTAAGATCTCATGACTTAAAGCAGTCTTGTAAGAAGTCTATAATGACCAGCTCATTGGTGAACGGTATGTCCTATATCCTCAGGGAGCTGACACCACTGCAAGAGGCCTCCATACAGAACCAGAAGCTCAGAGCCGCATACGAAGTTCGTCTCTCCAGATTGGACCCAAGGCAGGCCGCACAGAAAACCTCCCTGGTTAGTGGTTGAATATTACCAGGTCTGGTTCCATGAAACAGCTGGAATTACACTGTCATGGTGACTAGGGGTTGTTTTATTCAGTCACTTGCATAGTATAAAAAAAAAATATCAGATAAAAAGAAGAGGATAACGCAGGTTTTAAACCAAACTTCTGCTCTTTTTTTTGTTTTTTAAAGTTACACGTCAGCAACTATAATGAATCTCTGATTTGTATTTTTTTTTAAAGCTGATCTCCATGGAACTGTAAAAACTACCTGTGCAGTGGGGTTCTCCCCACACTGCAGAAATGTATTGCTTGTGTTTGCCTGGGGTACCAGGAAAAAGGAATTTGTACCCTATCCCTCCTTCCCTCAGGCTCCTCCTTCCATTTGAACGGTCCCTCAAAGCCTCTTCTCTTTGCCGCAACGGCTAGCACAGCTGTGATGCCATCACGTACAATGCAGGACCCAAAGTCCTCCATTGTAAGTGAGAACATTGAGCACCCACCCACAGCCAGGAGCATTGGCGAGAGGAGAAGAGCACAGACTGCTGGCGTTGCGAGGCCTAAGGCAATTAAAAGTTATTTTTCCAGGTACCCTAGACAAAATAAAACCCCCAGCATTCAACCCTTGCAGATTGGGGATGACACCAGGGCCAGATTTCCCACAAGGCCAACCAAGGCCCGGCCTTGGGGCAGCAGGGAGTAGAGGGGCAGCAGGGGGGTGGAATTTCTATCTCCTGATGATGGGG